ATAAGAGATAAGAGACAATAAGATAGATAATAAGAGCAGACTTGAGACTCAACCAAAAATTCCTGTTAACCGAAGATAGATTAAAACCTCTAACAATGGCTCCCACTTACTGAAAGCAAGAGTCACTGCAACTACACTCTGGTACAAAGACTCTGAGCCAACCAGAGCTGGTTTCAAATCCGGACTCTGCTGTGTGCAACCACATGACTTCACCTCTTCTCCACGTCTCCGCATCTCTAAACTGGAGCCTGCCTAGAAGACCTTCCTCACAGGCTTTTCACTAAGCCTTCACAGATCTTGGTTAATGAATCCAGAAAATGCCACCCTGACTCTAGAATGGAATGGGAGTCAACGTAAGGTTTTGGTTTGCTTTGGTTCTGTAGAGGGTCTCTGAGAAGCCATAGAACTAAAGGCAGTTTCCTAAAAAACTTGGAGCTAGGTAGTCATATTTGAAAATATGGGCTTAAAGAATTATTCAGAGTAGCCTGTCTGATTGGAATAATATAATGAGGGAAGGATCATTATTTATGACTTATACCTGTGGCAAAAGCTTGTTGGTGTTCCCCAAGGCTTGTCTTCTTCCTCCTGGTCCCATAGCTAGGCTACATGTCCCAGGCAGCTCCATGCGGCCCAGTGACTGAGTTCTGGCCAAAGGAATGTGAGCAGAAGTGATGCATGTCACCTCCAGCACCACCCATAATACCCTTCCCTGCCTCCTCCTCCATTCTTCCTCCTCTGTGGCCTGATGCAGATAAGCATATTGGAGGTCAAGCTTTAAAGATGATGGAGTCAGAGAATGGCAGGAATCTGAGTCCCTGCATCATCAACTGAAGGAGAAATGCACACCCATCAGAAATATCTATTTTGAACAAAAATGAACTTTGATTTCATATGACCCATTATATATTTGGGGGATGTTTGTTACAGAAGATAGCATTGACCTGGACTAACACAGCACCAATATTTCTGTTATGAAAGGAGGAAGCTAAGAAATTAACAACTGCCCCTCTGTGTTAGACCACAGACTGCGTGGCTTAAACAACAGAAATTTATTTCCTAGAAGTTCAAGATCAAGTGCCATCAGGTTTGGTTTCCTCTGAGCCTCTCTCCATGGCTTGCAGATGGCAGCCCTCAGTGAGGTCTTCCCCCTGCGTGCACATGTTGTCTGGTGTTTCTTATTGTCTGTGTTCTCATTTTCTTTTCTTAAAAGGATACTGGTCATATTAGATTAGGTCCACTCATATGACTTTTTTTTACCTTAATTACCTCTTTAAAGGCCCTGTCTCCAGTCTGAGGTACTAGGAGTTAGGGCTTCATTACATGGATTTGGGGAGGCCACAATTCAGCCCATAACAACCTCCCAGATTGAATTTTTGGGTACTAAGGCACTTCACTATGATTCTCCATGGCTCACTTACTGCATCATTCTAGGAAAGGGGAGGCCTCAGATGCAGACAGGAGCCTTCCAGTCAGTGTAAAGGACTATCTACCTCCCACCCCTACTGGACAAAATAGATTGACTTCTGATTTTTGTCAGACTTTTGTATAAATGTTTAGCTACCAGGATTCAGTTCCCCCAAATTTTATTAACTTTTTATTTACTAAAATGTCTAATTGCTAGAAGCAGTAGGACTGGGCGTGGGGTATGTAGAAGGGCCTGGGGAAGAACAATGGCTGTGGAATCAGACAAATATGAGATCCAATCCTGACATCACCCCAACCTCTAACTGTGTGACTTTGAGCATATGAAATACCCACTCTGGGCCTCAGATCCTTCGTCTGCAAAGGGAAATAATAATTTTATTGGTTAGAACTCTAGTTAAAGTGACAAAACCCTAAGCTGACAAGCTTGAGAAAAGATGAACTTCTGGTCTGACATAGTACATTGATAAAGAAGGCTTTAAAGAGCATTCACTCACAATGACTAAGAGAACAGGAAAGGAAATAACAGCAATAAAATTATGGATACTGGAAAGAAAGTGGACTGATGATAACTGTCTGAGCAGACCAGAGGAAACAGCTTCCCCTCAGTTGTGGAAGAAGGTGGCCAGTTAGAACCGCAAATCTCCAGAAAGGCTCATGAATTGAAGGCACCAAGTACCTCTGACAGGGATGCAAAGGTGGCAATTACAACAGGTGGATTGGTTGAAAGTCAGTTTAAGACAAAGTTGGAATCAAACAATCAAACTTAGTACCACTAATAGTAGGACTTCCTGGCATTATTATAATAACAGGACTTTCGAAAGAAGTGCACAGCTTAAACCATCAAGTCTTCTTTCTAGACTATTCAGTGTGAATCTAATAAGCCTTTAGACTGAGCTTCCAGTCTGTAGGGAACACAGGAGAGATAGGAACAAGTCAAATAAGAAAACAATCAGCAAACCTAGATTGTGGGATATTCTGGAAGACAGATAACTAGCCTGGCCTCTTCAGAAAGTTGATGTTCTATATTTAAAAAACTAAAGATATATGACAACCAAGTGCAATGGATCCTGGTTTTTAAAAAATAGGCTAGGGCCTTCCTGGTGGTGCAGTGGTTAAGAATCCGCCTGCCAGTGCAGGGGACACGGGTTCGAGCCCTGGTCCAGGAAGATCCCACATGCCGCAGAGCAACTAAGCCCATGCACCACAACTACTGAGCCTGCACTCTAGAGCCTGCAAGCCACAACTACTGAGCCCACATGCCACAATTACTGAAGCCTGTGCACCTACAGCCTGTGCTCTGCAACAAGAGAAGCCACCAAAATGAGAAGCCCGTGCACCGCAACAAAGAGTAGCCCCCACACGCGGCAACTAGAGAAAGCCCGTGCACAGCAACAAAGACCCAATGCAGCCAAAAATAAATAAATAAATAAGATAAGATATATGGAGAAGTTTGAATACAGATTAGATATTAGATGATAAGGTAGCCAGCCTCCAAGATGGATCACAGTGACCCCTGCCTCCATACCCTAATTAGGGAACCCTAATGAAGTCCCCTTCTACATTATGCTAGGGTTGGTCTGGTCTCTAATACCATACTGTAGAAGTGATGGTATGTCACTGCCACAATTAGGTTATAAAAGATTACAGCTTCCATCCTGGGCACTCTCTTGCACCCTCTCACTCTAAGATCCCTTGTTTTGGGCAAAGCTAATTACCATGCCATGAGAACATTCAGGTAGCCTATGCATAGAGCAATGAAGCAAGGACCTGAAGCATCCAGACCGTGGAATTAGCTTGAAAGTGGATCCTTCAGCTTTATTCAAGTCTTGAGATGACTGCAGCTTCAACCAACAGATTCACTACAACCTCATGAGAAACCCTGAACCAGAACCACCCAGCTAATCTGTTCTCAAATTTCTAACATTCAGAAACTGTGAGATAAATGTTTGTTGTTCTAAGTTGCTATGATTTGGAGTAATGTGTTATACAGCAGTGCATAACTAATACAGATGATAATAGAAAATGATTTAATATTCTTAGGTGTGATAATCATGCTGTGATTATGCAGGAATATCTCTTTATTTTTAAGAGTTGCATTCTAATGTATTTAGGAGCGATGTGTCATGATGTCTCTACAATTTGGTTTCAAATTGTTCAGAAAATATACATACATGGCATATATACACATAAATATACACATACAACAAAAAGACTGATAGTTATTGAATCTAGATGGCAGGTGTATAAATAATCATTGTATCATTCTTTCAACTATTCTATACCTTTGACATTTTTCACAATAAAAACTTCAAGAATTTCTGCTCCTGGACAAGATGGATTAATAGGACCCAGCCTGGCCTCCCAACAAAAACAACCCAAAAAAACATTAAAAATATATGAAACATTTTCCTCTAAGATCAGGAACAAGATAAGCATGCCCACTTTTGCCACTTCTAACATAGTACTAGAAATCCTAGCCAAAGCAATTAGGCAAGAAAAAGCAACAAACGGCATCCAAATTGGAAAGGAAGAAGTAAAATCATCTCTGTTCACAGACAACATGATCTTATATGTAGAAAAGCCGAAAGATTCCACAAGAAAACTAGTAAACAAAACAAGTAAATGAACTCAACAAAGGTGCAGGATACAAAATCAACACACAAAAATCAGTTACATTTCAATAAATTAACAATCACATTCTGAAAAGGAAATTTTAAAAACAATTCCATTTATAATTGCATTAAGAAGAGTAAAATACATAGGAATAAACTTAACCAAGGAGGCAAAAGACTGGTACACTGAAAACTATTAAATATTGCTCAAAGAAACAAAAGAAGGCATTAAAAAATGTAAAGATATCCCACGCTCATGGATTAGAAGACTTAACATTGTTAAGAGTACTACCAATGGTGATTTGTAGATTCAATGCTTCTCTATCAAAATCCCAAAGACTTTTTTATAGAAACAGAAAAATCCACCCTAAAATCCATATAGAATCTCAAGGAGCTCCAAATAGTCAAAACAATCTTGAAAAGGAAGAACAAGGTGGAGAATTCACACTTCCTGATTTCAGAACTTACTACAAATATAAATTAATCAAAACAGTGTGGTACTGACATAAAGACAGACATATAGACCAATGGAATAGAGAGTCCAGAAATAAATCCTCATATATATGGTCAAATAATCTTTGACAAGTGTGCCAAGATCATTCAGTGGGGAAAAAACTGTCTTTTCAACAAAAAAATGGTAAAATTGGACAGCCACATTAAAAAAAAAAAAGGAAGAAACTCTTAGAAGAAAACATAGAGGGAAAGCTTAATGACATTGGATTTGGCAATGATTTCTTGGATATAATACCAAAAGCACAGGCAGCAAAAGTAAAAATAGGTAAACTGAATGACACCAAAAGTTAAAAATTCTGTACATCAAAGGACACAATCAGCAGACTGAAAGGCAACCTACAGAATGGGAGGAAATGTTTGTAAATCATATATATTATAAGACATTAATATCCGGAATATATATAAAGAACTCCTACATATCAACAACAAAAAATAAAACAACCCATTTTAGTGTTTCTTTCAGCAGCACGTATGCTAAAATTGGAACGATACAGAGAAGACTAGCATGGCCCCTGTGCAAGGCTGTATGCAAATTTGTGAAGCTTTCCATATTTTTGGCAGAACACTCTTTGACATAAATCACAGCAAGATCTTTTTTGACTGACTTCCTAGAGGAATGGGAATAAAAACAAAAATAAAAAAATAGGACCTAATTAAACTTAAAAGCTATTCCACAGCAAAGGAAACCATAAACAAGGTGAAAAGACAACCCTCAGAATGGGAGAAAGTATTTGCAAATGAAACAACTGACAAAGGATTAATCTCCAAAATATACAAACAGCTCATGCAGCTCAATATCAAAAAACTAAACAACCCAATCAACAAATGGGCAGAAGACCTAAATAGACACTTCTCCAAAGAAGACATACAGATGACCAACATGAAAAGATGCTCAACATCACTAATTAATAGAGAAATGCAAATCAAAACTACAATGAGGTATCACCTCACACCAGTCAGAATGGCCACCATCAAAAAATCTGCAAACAATAAATGCTGGAGAGTGTGTGGAGCAAAGGGGACCCTCATGCATTGTTGGTGGGAATGTAAATTGATACAGCCACTATGAAGAACAGTATGGAAGTTCCTTAAAAAAACTAAAAATAGAACTACCATATGACCCAGCAATCCCACTACTGGTCATATACCCAGAGAAAGCCATAATTCAAAAAGACACATGCATTCCAATGTTCATTGCAGCACTATTTACGATAGCCAGGACATGGAAGCAAACTAAATGTCCATCAACAGAGGAATGGATAAAGAAGATATGGTACATATATACAATGGAATATTACTCAGCCATGAAAAGGAAAGAAATTGGGTCATTTGGAGAGACATGATGGACTTAGAGACTGTCATACAGAGTGATGTAAGTCAGAAAGAGAAAAATAAATATCATATATTAACACATACAGGCGGAAACTGAAAAAATTGATATAGAAGATCTTATTTACAAAGCAGAAATAGACATAGAGAACAAACGTATGGATACCAAGAGGGAAGGGGGGGTGGGATGAATTGGGAGATTGGGACTGATACATATACACTATTGATACTATGTATAAAATAGATAACTATTAAGAACCTACTGTATAGCACAGGGAACTCTACTCAGTGCTCTGTAGTGACCTACATGAGAAGGAAATCCAAAAAAGAAGGGATATATGTATATGTATAGCTGATTCACTTTGTTGTGCAGGATAAACTAGCACAATATTGTAAAGCAGCTGTACTCCAGTTTAAAAAAAAACCCATTTTAAAAATGAACAAAAAACTTTGTTTTGGACTGAATGGTGTCCTCTCAAAATTCATATGTGAAGCCCTAAACTCCAATGTGATTATATTCGAAAATGGAAATAATTCAGGTTAAATGAGGTCATAAGGTGGAGCGTTGATCCAATACAACTGGTATCATAAGAAAAGGACACACACAGAGGAAAAGCCATGTGAGGACACAGTGAGAAGGTGACTGTATACAAGTCAAGAAGAGAGTCCTCACCAGAAACTAAATTTTCCAGCACCTTGATCTTAGACTTCCAGCCTCCAGAACTGTGAGAAAATAAATTTCTGCTGTTTAAGCCACCTAGTCTGTGGTATCTTGTTATCGTGGTCTGAGCATACTAAAATAGTTGACATTTGAACAACACAGGCTTGAAGTGTATAGGTCCACTTATACAGATTTTTTTTTCAATAGTAAATATTACAGTACTACATGATCCACAGTTGGTTGAATCTGAGGACAGGAGGAACTGTATCCTTAAATAGACATTTCTCCAAAGAAGATATACAAATGGCCAATGAGCACAAGAAAAGATGTTCAATATCACTAATCAGTAGGGAAATGAAAATTAAAACCACAATGAGATACCACCTCATACCTCTTAGGATGACTACTATAAAAAATATAGAAAGTTACAAATGTTGGTGAGAATATGGAGAATTGTGTACTGTTGGTGGGAGTATAAAGTGGTATAGTTGCTATGGAAAGCAGCATTGTGGTTTCTAAAAAATTAAAAATAGAACTACCATATGATCCAGCAATTTCACTTCTGGGTATATACCCAAAAGAATTGAAAGCAGTGTCTCGAGGAGATATTTGTATACTCATGTTCACAGTAACATCATGTGCAATAGCCAAAAGGTGGAAACAACCCAAGTGTCCATTGACAGATGAATGGATAAAGAAAATGTACTGTAGACATAAAATGGAATATTATTTTGCCTTAAATAGGAGAGAAATCCTGACACTTGCTACAACATGATGAACCTAGAGGACATTATGCTAAATGAAATAAGCCAGTCACAAAAGGACAAATAGTGTATGATTCTACTTATATGGGGAGCTTAGAGTAGTCAAATTCATAGAGATGGGAAGTAGAACAATGGTTACCAGGGGGTGGGAGAAGGGGAGAACAAAGAGTTATTTTTTAACAAATATCGAGTTTATGTTGCACAACGATGTGAATGTCCTTAACATTACTGTACTATACACTTAAAAATAGTTCAGATGGCAAATTTTATGTTATATATTTTACTACAATTAAAATTTTTAACTTAAATACAAATTTTGAAAAAAATATATAAAACAACAGTTTTTAAGGCACTGGATATCAGGCAACAAAGGACAGTGATTTCTGAGAGACTGGAAATAAACAAGATGAGCCCTATAAGTGTCCCAGCTTATTGTATTTTGAATCGAGAGAGACTCCAGGCCATGGCACAGGGAGGGGTAACTAAAGCCAACCCCAGCTAACTCTCTGAGTTGAGGAGATAGAACTATCAGTCCAGGGAGACCAAGGCAGCTAGAGCTGCTAGACTAAAGTATCAGAGAAGAGAGAGCTTCCCAGAGAAAGAACACCACAAATATGCAGAGGATCGCCCTCAAGTACACAACAGAGTAGTGATCAGCTCATACATACAAGGAAAATACCTGCTCCTGTGGAAAGAACCATTTAAAATGATGGGAATAAACAGGGCCTGGCAATCATGAAAGGCTGGGAACAATGCCTCTTGCCTAAATATTCACATGGAGCATTAGGTAAACCAATCATAATGGTCTTCCCTCAGTTATCGAGAACAACTCATCCTAGATTAAGCATTGCTGTAGACCTTCCTAATAAATGATAAAAGCAAGAACCAAAAAGATCAAGCTGTTTCTGAGTAAGTTAACTGCATTCCATATCAAAGATTAAGAAGATTTATAGGTATACAAAAATATCCTGCACCCTACATGCAAAGAGACAGGAAAACACAAACCATAATGAGGAGAACAGTTAATATATCAAAACTGACCAAGAACTGACACTAACGCAAAGAAATACATTAAAAGTTATATAAAAGAAATACATAAAAGTATTAGCAAAGAAATACAATAAAAGTTATTACAACTGTACTTCACATTTCAAAAAGTAGAGATACAGAAGATATAAAAAATACATAAGTCAAACTTCTAGAAATAAAAATTACAGTTTGAGATTTTAAATACACACAGGATAGGATTAACAGCAAATAAAATATTTCAGAAGAAAAGATTAGTAAACTTGAAGACATTGCAATAGAAACTACTCAAAAGAAAACACAGAAAGAAAAGGGGGAAAAAATTAAGAGTATCAGCAAATCTGTGCCCACAAATCTGATAACCCAGATGAATGCACCAATTCCTTGAAAGACACAATCAACCTTAACTCACTCAAACAGAAGTAGATAAACTGAATAGGTCCAGAGGACTAATATGCATATAATTTAAGTCACCAAAGGACTGGAGGGTGAGAGGAAATAGAAAAAAATGTTTGAAGAAACACCAATCAATTTTTTCCAAACTTGATAAAAAACTATAAAACCACAGATCCACAAGGCTCAAAGAGCTCAAACACACACACACACACACGCACACACTCACCACCTCTGAGGAAAACTGCACCAATGCACATTATAATAAAATTTATCAAAACCAGTAAACAAGAGAACTATTTAAAACAACTAGAGAAAAAAAGTCATGTCATGTTGGGAGGAACAAAGATAAGATGACACAGATTTCTAATCAAAATTAAGGCAATTAGGAAGACAGCAAAGCAACATCATTAAAGCACTCGCAGAAAACCCTGTCTATACCCAGTGAAAATATTTTTCAAAAGCTAAGATGAATTAAAGACAAAGGCTGAAGAAATTCATCCCAGAAGGCCTACACTACAAGAAAAGTTAAAGGAAGACTTTTAGGCAGGGAGAAATAATACCAGATGGAAATCTGAAACTACACAAAGGAAAGAAGATCAACAGAAATGATAACTATTGGGTAAGTACAAAAGATTTTTTTCTTATTTTTTGAAAATCCTTAATAGATATTTTACTATTTAAACAATAATAATAATATATTCTGGAGTTTGAAGCATAAGCAAAAGTAAGATGCATGATACTAATAACATAAAGAATAGGAGAGAAAAAATGGTAGAATATTATTGTGAACTTTTTATACTATACATGAAGTGAAGTGGTGTAATAGTACTTGAAGATAGACTGTGATAAGTTAAAGATGTGTATTATACACCATAAAATAACCACTAAAGTAACAAAACAAAATGCATAGCTAATATCCAACTAATGTGAATGATATAATTCATTCATTCACATTAGTGAATTATTTAAAAATTTATCCAAAAAAGAAGTAAGAAAAAAAACGAAAAAGGGAAAAAGGAACAGGTGAAAAACAGAGCACACATAGCAAGATGATGAGCTCATATGTAACCATATTAATAATCACATTAAATGTAAGTGGTCTAAAATTAAAATTCAGGGACTGTCAGATAGCATTTTGTAAAAAGGCAGACTAGACTATATATACTATCTACAAAAAACACATTTTAAACATGAAGACAAGGCCACTATCACCCTGATACCAAAACCAGACAAAGATGTCACAAAGAAAGAAAACTACAGGCCAATATCACTGATGAACATAGAATGCAAAAATCCTCAACAAAATACTAGCAAACAGAATCCAACAGCACATGAAAAGGATCATACACCATGATCAAGTGGGGTTTATCCCAGGAATGC